TTTTTCTGAGAGTCTGAGAAGAAACTGGTGCTCTTGACATGAGATGTCATGGCCATCCTGAGCACTTAGCAGGGCATGTCACTCATGAAGAAGAGGCCCAAATTCTTGTCAGAGTCAGTGAACCTTGTCCTAGCAAACTTGTGCAGATCTGATAAGAGAACAGGATTAGGATATGAGAACCTTTTGTAACGCATCAGGTACATAATTATTTTTTAAACATCTTAGTAGTCTCAGTGAGATGACTCACATGTTGAAGACAGGGATGTGGGTCTGTTTTGCTACATAGGGGCCAGTTTGAGCACATCCAGTCCTATGCACCATGCACCAGTTTTACTGGGGTCTCTTCAGGTGTTGGGATTCATGTTTCTGTACTCTGAGAACACAAAAATCAACCAGCCACCTAATCCGTTGAACAAGTGGGCTCTTAGATTAAGTGGGTCAGGTGATAAGTCTACACTGGTGTCATGGGAATTTATTTTAATTTTTTTCCCGTTACTGAATAGGGCTGCACAGTGCACTTTTGCAAAGAACCATGGCACAGACACACAGAGGAACATCCAAGTCACTATTTACAAGTGCCCTTATGCTCTCAACATAAAAATACTTCTTTTTACAGCAATACAGTTCGTATAAACTTCTGCAGCTGGTTACTGAAGCTGATCTATACTACTAAGGTTAATTTTAAGGTAGCCCATTTGGTCTGTGGACTAAAATATCCTCAAATTTGAGCTCTTGGTCTGGAATTGCCTGAAGGCCCAGCTCTTCCACTAATGCTTTTTTTCCACCTTGTGCTCCAAAATAAACATTTAGCTGACTCTTAATTTGGCTTATAGCTAGGGTAAAACTAGGCTTTCAGTGGTAGTGAACTGGACAGAAAACTGTACTCATCCCCCGAGCAGAGAGCACCCAGACACTCGCCGTTTTTCAGCGCTTGTGTCCAGCCGTGGAGCTGGCTTGCAGAGGAAAGGCTGAGTCATTTCCACGGGATGTTTCACAGAGGAGCTAAGTGATGCGGGGCTTGGGTCTGAACAGCTCTGTTTCCTGGTGAATAGTAATTCTGTTTGCTTAGAAGAGGAAAAAAAACCACTGGGGGCCTCGGTGCTGCTGTGTCATACCCGACTGGATGAAGTCTTGTTTATCTCAACCTGAGAAGAGAGAGAAGTAATTTCTGGTGGCACTTTTCAGAAAATAATTCTCTACTTTTGGGGAGTGTAGGCAGTGGAAATAGTCCACAGATTTGAGTCCTGAAGGTTTTTTTTCCTGCTTGTTCTGTAACAGCAGTAGCATGTTACCCCGGAAAGAACAAAAGAGCCTCAGAGGGACTCCTAACACCCCGTGCCAGGCTGAAAATTTTGTCATACTAAAGCAGCTGCAGGCTTGTAAATGTAGGGGCCTGGTTTGGGGTTTATGCTGGGCCAAGTGAGGTCTGAAGCTGGCTTGTGATTTTTCTTTTGGTCTTGATTTTCATGCAGCATTTATTTTCCCCAGGATACACCTGTTTATATAGGACCCACTATAAATCCTTTGGTACTTGTTCATAGAGGAAATAACTGAATATGCTGTTTAGTCTGAAGATGGGATATTTTGACCCAAGTTGCTGGCAGTAAGTTCCTGCTTTATGTCAGCGTGTCATGAGGATCATTAATGCTTCTACAGAGGAGCTTGGCTCTCTTATCAAGTCACACGTTGGGCTCATGTGCCAATCACCAGTGCACGTGAACAGGCAGCCGGAAAGTACCGTCTCTCCTCCACCCGTCCCCTTCTCTGACAGCGATGCTGCGCTGATACACCGCTCTGCGCTCGAGCACATCTGTTGACGTTCATGTGCTGAAATAGCATAGGTGATCGGCGGTGGGGGGAAAAGGGTTCCTCTGCTCACAGGCTGCAGCTGGCACCAGGCACGCTGCAAAGCCTCCACTGTTTGTCAAAACATGAAGCTTGTTCCATGACAGTGAGGTGTGGAGCTGCCCTGTGATTTTTCATCTGGTCTCGATTTTTGTGCAGTGTTTGTTTTGCTTAGCATCTATCTGTTTGTATAGGTCCTACTATAAATCTTCTGCCCTCAAGATGGATCCAAACTCGTGGGAAACAGCAGAGGTCTGGGACCTGCCACAGTGCAGATGGTTCACGGAGGATGGAGCGAAACCCAGAAGTTTTGGACTTTCTTCTAATCTGGTGAAACAGCCACCACTGCTTGCAGTTTGGGCCAGTGATGGGGTTTTGATGCCTTTTCTTGCAGAAGCCAGGAGCACAATTTTTGTTGGTTGAAAACCGTGTCTTGTGTTAGTCAAAGAGCCCAGTCCTGGTCTGGGGCGACATGGTACCAAATTGCAGGCTTTACCTAAACCAGGCAACTTCTGGAGGTTCAAGTGGATCAGAATTATGGAAATATTCATCAGCATAAACTTAACAGCTGACTGAAATGAAAAAATATGAATCAAAAGTGGGTGAAATCTTTGTCTAATGCAAAGCAGTGGAATTGCTGCTGGGTCACATCCCAGCTCCTGGTCAATCATGACACTGTCTCTGACAGTGAGTGTACAAGTCTGTCCCATGCTGATTTCTTAAGAGGTTCTTAATTCTTGATTGAAATGGGGCTGGTGTTACAATAATCACACACAAAGAAAGAAGATGTATGTTCAAGGAGTGTCTGGTTGTCTTCTACATTCAAGAAGTCATTTAGAATGTTATTTATTTTATTTTTACCTTTTAAGCATGGTGTAGAATGAACAGCTCTTGCCTTTCAAAGAAAATAAAGCTGTTCCTTGAGATTTTTATATCTATAACACTGAAGTAGTCCAAAGACGGGTCCTGTACCAAAGACATTTCCCCAACAAGATCTTCATTTTCATGTACCATTTATAGTAAATGAAGACATGTTTGTAGGAGTACCGATAGATGGAGAGGTTGATCGTGCAAAAAAACTGGAGGACTGTTTTTTGAAACTTAAATCTGATTATGCATATATGCTATTTTTATTCCTCTCTTTAGTTATCTGTCAAGGAACATTTGTGCAAATGAATTTTCATTATGGATTTTAAGCATGCAGGCTGGAATGCTGGCAGAAAGATATCCTCAATACTGCTTTTATATACTGCTTTTCCCCAGGACTTTCAAGGGTAGCCGAAGTCTGAGTTCTGGTTAGTCATTGTGAAAATGAAATGTCACCTGACCTATAGGACAGATCACAATGAGGCAGCTTCGCTTTGATCTGGAGATCAAACACTGCTTTCCAAACTGGGAATATTTATAAAGCAATGGGTGAATCTCAGAAAAAAAAACAAGTCTCATTCATGACTGTATTGAAAGTGGAAAGATGGCAAAATTCATAGTACATTACCGGTGAGTTGAGTAGGATGAGTTATTACTAATAATATCCAACTGGCTGTCTCTTGGGTTGCATTTCACATGTCTTATGTGGACTGGCAGATGAGGGTAGTGGTAGAACTTGTGAATTACAGTTATTTTTACCCTACTGTTTAAACCAAATGAGAAATTAGGAGTATTTATTTAATATGTATATGTGGATGCCATGAAGTGCCTCATAAACAATGGTGAGTGTGTATATATACACCTATACATGTAGGTGTACCTTTTGCAGAAAAGAGGGTATGTGGGGCTGCCAAATTCAATATACTATGTCAACAGTCAAGGGCTCAGGCTCTGATGACACACGTTGTACTTTCAGTCAGACATCATCTTAAAACTTGCACACTATGAGTATTTCTGTTACTAAGGCCTGGCCACACAATGTGTTTTATTGGTGCAGGAGTTCCCAGTTGAAAGAAACAGATTTGGCCCCTCTGCAAGCTGCTTCTAGTCCAGGGCAGGACTGTAACGGTTGCAGAGATACAGAGAACTGCTTTTGGATTGAGCTCTTTGAAGTGAAGCTATTGGGTGACATGGTTTCTGCTGCACTTGCCTGGGACCACAGTGTGCAACCCCAGGGAGGGAGGGGAGGACCGTGTGGCTTTGCTGAGGGTGTGGGAGGAGAGGAAGGAGGGGCAGGTATCCCAAGAAGCTTGGCTGAGCCTGAAAGTGCATCAGAAATCTGGTGCTGTCACACCAAGCCACCTGCATCGTTCTGTCTTGATAGCCCCAGGGGAGCCCTGGAGCTGGCCCCGGGCACACAAGACCAAACTCCCGGGCTTGGATGACTGAAACCTATTGCCATCACAGTCCTCACTGAGCTCAGCTCCTGCAAGGAGCCAGCCTACAGCCTCCCCCCTCCTGCTCACAGGACATCCCACCCTGCCTCAGTCCCTGCAAGTGACTGTGAATCCCCTCTGCCTCAGGGATAAATCCTTTCAGCAGTTGTTTGCCTTCAGGGCTGCAAATCTCTGTTTTGTTTCTAGCCTGAACTGGCTTTATTTTAGACTCCAGCTGTTGAAAGCATACTGAGGAGCAGGAGGTGGGTTACAAAGGGACCCTCAGGACCTCCTGCTTCCTATGTCCTGGGGTATGGATGTGTGCAGGGCTCGGTGTCCGCTGTGCAGGGCATGAACCACAGTGCAGTGCCAGGCTCTGACGCCAGACTGGGCTCCCAGCATCGTGGCACCGCCGCTTCTCCCGGTCCTGGTACCACCACAGTCTGGCCCCCACTTCGCCAGGGGTGAATAAACCCAGCTGACATGAGAGCCTGGCTCAGGGGATACAGAGGCACCGTGGGGGGACAAAGGGAAGAGGGAGAACGTGGCAGTGACAAGGAAATTGCTCTCTTTGAGGATTTTCTAGTCTCTGCTAGAAAATTGGAGCTGAGAGCAGGCTGGGGTTGGGGGAAGAAAAGGCAAGAGAGGCACAAAGCCTCCAGTAAATCAGTGAGGCAGAGGGGGCCGTCCTGTAAGGACGCGGGAAAGGCAGGGGAGAGCTATGGCTGGAGCTGCCCTGCCTGCCCCCCTGCCTGCCTCCCCGAACCACCTTCCTGCTGCCAGCCCGGTGTCCTCACTCCGCTGCCAAAAAACCTGGTGCCAGCTATTTGCTCATCGCAGTCACGTTTGTTTGGGTGTCTGCGCCTCCCCAGGAGGCGGCTCTGCCAAAAGCAGGTACCCACAGCCCGTGGGGCTGGAAGGGTGGGCAGCTGGGGTACACCAGCTCCCCCTGCCCACCCTGAGCCCCTGCCTCCTCGCTGCCTGCACCCCGGGGGTCCCTCCGCAACTCTCCGCACAAAGAGCCACCGGGCAGGTCTCCCGCTCGCTGCCTTGCCTGGGAGAGAAGGAGGAGGAGGAAGAGGAGGAGGAGAGGGTGGTGATAAGGGGTTTGCTGCGTCGCCTCATTTCTGTATCCAGCGCACAGCTCGTGGGGTGTGTGCGAGTGTGTGCGAGTGTGTGCATCCGCTGCCTGAGGACTTCTGCTGCTGCAGTCTCAGCGCTGAGCTGCCGGCGCCCAGGCGTCAGGGGAGCGCTGGCTGTTTACTGCCTGGTGACAAGTGTTGCAATGCAAAAGCCGAGCGCGTCCGTGGAGGGGAGGCAGCGGCACCTGTAAGGAACAGAGGCAAAGAGGCTGTCTGAGGCATTCGGCAGCAGGCAGCCAAGGCTCCAGGCATCGGCATCTCCTCCCAGTGTCTCCATCGCCACTTGCTTTGGATCTCTTCTTAAGGGAGAAGAGGAAAAAGGATCCAGAAAACCCCTGCAACTGGACAGCCCCTGCTGGAGTCTAACAGGTGTTTGCTGGGATTTGAATGGGGAGGGGATGGGTGGGGAGAAAAGTTAACTGGAGAAATTGGGGCTAGGAGAGATGCAATGATCTTGCACCAAGTGGATGTGCCATGTCTGCATGCGAATAGCGCGTCTGGAGAAGCTCAGAGGGATGCCTTGCAAGTGATCTGCTTGATCTCCGTAGAAACGCTCACCTCTGCCTGCAAACTTTCCCCTGCCAGAAGTTAGGAAGAATAAAAAAGCATCAGAAAATCAAAAGGGGAAGATCTCAGCGGACAGAAACACTTGAGCTAAACTGTTGCATCCTGACCCAGGGCTCTGGTGCGAGCATCCCGCTGGTGTCTCCGGGGCTCCCAAGCCGACTGGCGGTGGGTGGCATTGGCCAAGGCGCCCGGCAGCGTCCCCAGCATTGGGGACGGGCCGAGCAGCATGCTGGCTGCGGTGCCCGCGGCCGGCGAGCAAACCCCGTGTGCCTGACCTGCCAGTGGTGCCGGGGCGGTGGCGGCCATGGCTGCAGCCATCGCCAGCTCCCTGATCCGCCAGAAGAGACAAGCCAGGGAGCGGGAGAAGTCCAATGCCTGTAAGTGTGTCAACAGCCCCAGCAAGAGCAAGGGAAGCTGCGACAAGAACAAGTTGAATGTGTTTTCCAGGGTCAAACTCTTTGGCTCCAAGAAAAGGCGAAGAAGGCGACCAGGTTGGCAAGTGTTATGTCTTTGGGGGGTTGGTTTGTTTAATTTAATGCAAACTGAGATGTGCATCAGGCGTGGGGAAAGGGGACTGGTGTCTCAGGGTTGGTAAAATGAACATGCAGGTATTGCCACTCCTGGCTTATATGATCTGATAGACATGGGTGCCCCATGACAGTCTCTTCCCCTTTCATGTTCACCTCTGCCTCGCTTGCACACCCGTGTGCACCCGTGTACCAGTAATTCAGTAGTCTCTCTGTTACACACAGACATATACAAACACATGCGATTTGTTTGTGGAGCAGATGTTAGTAGGGGAAGTTCCCACATGTACACCTCCTTCAGTTGTATGTTAAATAACTTAGCGGTCTAGAGATCATGTTTTTGTCTTTCTGCTTCACAGAATGCCTGTGCCGTACTTTATTTGCTGATTGCAGATGAGGCTTTTTGCTTTGGCTGGCACCTTCCAGAGTTTTGCTCCAGTGCCCTGTTCCTTTCTAGGAATCTCATACATGCAGCTGCCCTGCAGACGTGATGCTCTCTGTGTCAGAGGTGCAAAAGATCAGGCATGAAGACTCAGTCCCTGATCTGAGTGGGGTTTTTTTGTGTGTGGGAGGAGCAAAACCCTCTGGTAATGTTGCTATTCCTTTGCGGTGCTGAAACATTGATGCCGTTAGCCACTTAACCTGTCTGCCTTTCTCAGCAGCCACGGAAGAGGTGCCTCTCTCACAGTTTGCAAACAGCTATGGGATGTATTATGGCTAAAAAGCCAGAGTGAGGGTTGGATTAATTTCTTGTCAGAAAAGTTGGTAGATGAGAATTGTGCATCCATCGGTACCATTATTAGAGGTTGCTATTAGGAACTAATACACTTACGCAAACTACTGCAAGCTTTTGCCTTCAGCTCCTACTAAAATGAAGTACGGTAGCAGAGCTCCCTAATGTCTTTGATGACACAAGGAGTCTTATCCAGACATTGGTTGTTGGAAATGACACATATCTTCACTGTATGTTTATCTTTGAATTAAGTAAGATGTTGTGGAGCAAGCTGCAGAGATGCATCGCCTCCTGACAAACATAATTGTGTGAAACGACTACAATGCAGATCTCATTGGGATTCAGTGGAAGTAGACCTTTTTTGCAATTACTCCTGCTGCATTACCTGGCTATCTTAAATGACAGACTTGATAGCAGATCCTGTTGCTGTATACTTTTTAGTCTAGAATGATCAGAAACTGTGTGAGATATCTCGCTTTCTAACTGTGAATCTGAGGATGGTTATGAAAAAAAAAAAAGAAATCCATCCAAACTATGCGTTGTTTTGATCTTTCTTCTTCTAGCTGATGAGGTAATTACCTCAACCCTTATGTTAATATTTATTTTGCAGTTCCACACATTGCTGGATTTCAGGGTTCCCCCCTCCATTTTCCATATGTTCATTGAGTAGTTTGTCACTTCGGATGCTCTGTACTCTTTGGAGCAGCGAGGAATGGGGGTTTGTTTATTAGAGCTGCAGCAGTTCCTGTGCTAAATGTTTGCTGCTATATATTTAGGCTCTCAACTGTCACTGTGGCTCTTATTAGCACTATCGTAGTAGTCCTCTTTTTCCTCTCCATTTAAGAACTCACACCTTTTTAAAAGGCAGAATATGCTCTTCGCCAGCTCATTTCTAATCTTAAATGAGATAGGGCTGAGCTCCTGAGGCCAAGCAGCACACTGTTGGAATTTATATTCTCTGGAAGTAGATTTTACCGTGCTACCTACATTGCAATTGAAAGTGGCATTTAATCATTTTGGAAATTGATTTCATAGACATAAATTTGATCTCAACCTAAATGAAAAGTGTTGCAAAGCTGTTTGCCCTGCTTTTGTTTTGGGTCTTTTTCATATCTCAGCCTTGAGAAGAAACCTGGAGATTTGTTTTTAACATCCTGTTCACTTGGAACGGTACATCAGGATTTCCCACATTAATCTCACTATTGTTTTTTTACAGAGCCTCAGCTTAAAGGTATAGTAACAAAGCTATACAGCAGGCAAGGATACCACTTGCAGTTGCAAGCAGATGGAACAATTGATGGAACAAAAGAGGAGGACAGTAGTTATAGTAAGTGACACGAAGAATAAATGGTGTGTTTGTGATTTGTGGTGTCTCATTCTTCCCATGTAGGTGCATTCAAAACTGTTATCCTGGGATGACTGAGTGAGTGGAAGTGGCATTAACACTGTGCTCACAACACAGAAGTTTTTCAGACTTACTGGGTCTGAAAATAATGCAAATAAAAATCACTTATAGAAATAATGAACTAGAAGAGGTGATGATGACACATATGACAAACAAAGCAAATGTTATCTCCATGGTAATCTAGAGAAGTTCATTGCTGTCCTTTGATTTTATTAGATTTTTTTTTTTTTTCAACAGGGAGAATTTGCTCGCCTACTCAGGGTGCCTGAAATAGAATAATGTTATCTCCACTCTTGAACAGGGGCTCATTCAGAGAGAGCCGTGTTATTTCATACAACGAGAGTTCATCATCATTTTAAAGTTCACGTTTCCCTGTTTTTATTATTTTTTACCCCTTCTAAAGTTTATTATACCTTCAGCTTTCAATGAGATTTCCCTCAGCTTTTCTCTGAAAAAGCTTTGGATGCTTTTAGTCTATGGTTTGTTGGTTTTTTTCACAACTTTGAGAATTAATAGAAAACAGGAAAAGATAACTAAAGCATGGATTTGGTGTGTGCGAAAAAATATTTTCAGCATTTTACATAGCTGTACTGTTTAGCTTAAATTACATGTCTGTTCTGAAAGACGGAGTTAGGAAGAGAAAGGAGTCTGAGAAGGTATTTCAGGCCACTTAGACAACAAGCTAGAAAATCAACAGGCAGACCTTCCTTTTTATTTATGAAAAAGCACTGATATTTTTCATAGGAAAAACATTTGCAGGTGAAAAATGGTTTCATTTTACAGGGCACTTGAATATGGCAGAGTAAGCACTAGATGCAATAGGAAGTATCGTATCTTATTTGGACAATCGCTCCCACCCTTTTCCCGCATCCTCTTTGACATTCTTTGCATCCCTATTTTAACTTGTGAGTGACAGGAGGGAAGCGGGTGAGCTGCAGGAGGAGGTCTCCTCTGCAGGTACTGAGGGTGCTGGCCTTAGGGCAGAGCACAAGCATAAGATCTGTGGGGGCACTTGAGGTCTGGCTCCAGGTCCTGTCCTCACCCACGGAGAAGGCGGCACAGACCAGATCAGTGCAGTGCTGAGCGGCTGTTGCCATCTTACAGAGTTCTCCTCAGTGCAGCCACAAAATTTACTCTAAGAATGACTCTTATGGACCTTAAACACTGCTTTTTTTCCAAGTGAATGATCTAATATTTATTACTTTAAAAGTACAGGTCATTCAGGATTTCAGAGTAGTTCTGTTAATTACCTTAAAAAAAAGAAGAAGAAATAGGCAAATCTTAATTTTTCCATCTAAGTGTGATATTGTTATAAATTTTTAAAGTACCAGAGCAAATGTCTGAAATTACATCATTTGCGTGAATGTTTCATTCAAATACTTTGCTTGGGATCCCTCTAATAGGGATTCTGATATTTGAAACAAGATAAAATGTATAGAAATACAAATGTGTCTCTTTCTAAGATATCTTTGTTTTCAGTGTGTCCTTAAATTTACCATAACCTGAGAGATTACAAAGCAAATAATAAAAACTTCTTGTTGCTGGATACCAGCCTTCCAAACTGCTCTATACTTAAATATTAATAGAAGTATCCCAGAAATGATTGCATTTGGGCTGCAGTATCTTAAGTGTTCAGAACAGAAAGTTTTATCATTAAAAAACATGTGCTTTTGTATATATTCCCCTTTTAGGTAAGGTAAGCATATGGACCTGAATGTCCTGGAGTCCTGAATTTATTTTAATTGCAGTATTTTGACTGATTTATGCTGTGGATCAGAGTCCACATAAGGGGCTTCCCCCAAAGCCTTTCTAGCATGAATATTAATCAGATCAGGCCCTTTAAAATCCTTTCTTCCAATAGCTACAGAAACACCTCGCATCTAGCCCATATTCATGCACTGCAGGGAAGCCACAGGACTTGTAGCCCCCTTCAAATGCTGGGGGACCCCTTCTCCAATCCATTCTCCTCTCCTTTGCATCCCTGAGGGATGTCATTGCTGTTCCCTTTTGTCACCTTCACTGAACATTTGCTTTAAGACCATTTGCTTTGCAGTGCAGAGTGGTGATAAAAACTCCCCTTAATAATAAGGGGAACATCCTCAAATGCGGCTGTGGCCAGCAGAGTTGCACAGTGCTAGGACTCTGCAACTGCATTTTTTTAGAGGAAATCATAGCCATAGTCCACCTGATCCCCAGACAGATCATTGGTCAGCCTTGCTTAAATTTCACAATTTGTCTTCCCTGTTTAGGGTAAAGATGGGGAGAGCTTGCATCCCCCAGTAGCGAGCTGCTGCTTTGAGCTCCTGAGCATCTTGGGCCCAGGCATCCACCTTCACCATCGTTTGCTACCTAGAGCTGAGTGGGAAGTTTGCCTGAAGATCTCCTTCAGCTCCTGACTTGGGAGCGATTATTTCAAGCTCTGCAAACCCACTGCTGTATGCAAGGTTCACAAAACCAAGGTCGCATCCAAAATTGCAGGGAGTTTAAAAGAAAGCTGAGATTTTGGAGCACGATTTCGTCAGAAAGAGAAACATGCATTTGAGGAGCCATAGCACTCACCAGACCTTGGTTTTAGCCAAGAGTCTGTGTGATTTGAGGAAGTGCCTCGCGGAAAGGATTTCCTGGCTGAGGAACAGATTTTGCCTCATTAAATGTGTTAAATAGGGCAAGGTTTTAAATCAAGGCAGAATTTATTTCCCAATTTTGGCAAGACAGAGAGATTTCAAGACTGATAAAATAAGGAAATTTAGGAAACAATATCCTGCAGAAAATGTATGAAGGTCCAGGTGGCCAAGCCAAGGATGGCACAGACCTTACAGCAGTGTAAGGGTTCACGAATCCAGCTGTGGCCTGCTGCCTCTTATTTTGCAGCTCTAATTCTCTGTCAGCTTGTATTGCACATGGGCCATAGCAAAGACCTTCTCTCCTTTAGGCATCGCCAAGTTTTTCATTATGATGGGTATTATATCCTTATTTTAAACAGCGCAAATGTAATAGGGAGAGGCTAGGATTCACATAACTTTGCCATATTTTATGTTAACACAAACTGCTAATAGTAGCAAGCAATTTCTTTTCCTGTGGCTTTTTTGCCTTTCTGTCGTATCTACCTGCATGAGGGTCAACCACCAGAAACGCAACAGCATTTCAACCCACTGTTGATGGCACTGGGGGCTTGCAGAGAAGGGGGCTACGTGGCTCTGCTGGTGGCCCCATCAGCATTCACTAGTCGTGGACAGGCCACTCACTGTTAACAGAAGCCAGACTTGGACTTGCTGCTCTGCAAGGGCAGTGGGAGCAATGGCTGCAGCTACAGGGGACAGTCCCCTTTTTTGGTGCAGTGCCAACGTTCCCTTACCTTGGAGGTGGCAGGTTGGCCGTGTTTCTGTCCGTGCTGGCATAGGACAGATTGACTGTGCACCCCTCCAACAGGCGGTCCCTCTCCCCTTCAGCAGAAGCAGCAGCAGCAGAGCCAGCGTTACTCCCCCGCAGCCCTTTTGCAACTTCCGACAGTCTGTGCCACAGCAGCTGCTAATCCCACCGATGTCTAAACCAGTTTCTGAGTGTGCCCAGCCTTGCCTCAAAATAGACCACGTATGTTTGTGGCAGGAAAACATGTTGGGCTGCTGCTGGAAGCAGCTGAGCACCCATTGCAGTGGGTGCCCCAGCCCTCCCCTGGCGGGGGTTGCTCAGCCTCATATCTCTGCTCACTTTGCCAGGCACAGCACCAGCCAGGAGTTGGTCGCTGAAACCTATCTCTGTGGCTTGTGGCTGAGAGCTGTATCTTCTTGACTGTCCCAGGCTTTGCCCTGTCCTCAGCTGGTCTACTGACAGCTTTGTAGCACTATTTACAGTAGAGACCATCCTTGTACCATTGTACTGAAAAACACTTGCCCTACTCATAAATATGCCATTAAGAAAGCACCTTTCAGAAGAGATCTCTAGGTTCTGCCTGGATACTGAGCTTTAAATTGTGCTCTTGTGCCTACATGGAGAGCAGATGCTGCTTTTTGGGGTTGAACTGCAAGAGAGGACTCTCCAAGGGAATATTTACTGAGTCAGACAGGGAATATTTTCTCCTGAAGATAAATTCAAGCATTTGATAGAATGAACGAGAAATCCTTGTCCCTTAGCATTTCCCTTCCTGAAAACCTAGGTTTTGTTTGCCAAAAACTGCACAGAACTAGAGGATTTTGTCTTAGTGAAGAGAAAGTAATTTCTGTTGATTTTGTGCTTGAGGCAAGCGTGAGGAGGGGCCGCGTGTGCATGTGTGTGTTTGTGTCTGCATGTATACTTGTGTTTATGAGAAGGAAAGAAAAATGCGGGTATGATTTTATGATCTCCAAGTTCTGGGTGTTTACACCTGCTGTGCTATATTCGACCATTGTAAGAAATCCAGTGCTCAAAGGTTCCCCAACCTCAGAGCAGAACACCCGTAGTTCGCAGTGTGCCAGCAGAGCCGGGCAGGCTCAGCCCAGCCCTGAGCCCAGCACAGCCCTTCTTCACTGAGCCGTGGGGTTGAGATGCTCAGGCAAACCCGTGACAGCACACGGAGCTGGAGGTCCAGCTGCCTGCTGGAACAGAGCCTGTTTTCACCAGAATTTAGTCCTTCATCCCCAACGCACAGTTTTAACTTCTGGCCATGCCTGTATCGAAGTAGGACGTGCATACGCTTGCCCTTTCCTTTTTTGATACACTCTTGAGAAACCCACACCCAAAATTTAGGATCTGTATTAAAATGCTGGCAAGATGCAAATTTTCTTTTAAATAAATACGACCATTTGGGGGTTGTCAGGCTGAAAAAATGAATTTATCATGGGTCATAATTCTTATCTTATACTTTTGAAAATAATAAAAATATTTCAAATTCATAATTCAGTTTGAAACTGGCTGCAGACAGTGACCATAAATATCGAACTTCAGCCTGAAGCATACTGGAGTTTTCCAGCCAGTTAGGAATAAGAGCCAGTTTGGCATTACTTCATCCTATTTCTGCATTTATACAACAGACTGGAAGGAGATGCTTTGGGTTATGATAACAGTTCTTGAAAATTTTTTTAACTCCCCTTTATTTTTGATCCTACGTGTTGAACACAGAGTACTGTATTCAACTCATTATTACTTGTGTTCAATTTGAATGTGTCCATGAATCCACGCTACGGCACAGCTTCGCTTTTTTTATTTTTGTTTAATTTGCCACTTTACAAACCGGAATCTTCATTTTTTGAAGAGACGTTTCTCTGCTTATAAATTCTGCCACTATTAGCATGTATACAAGCATAAACGCAAGCAGAATATTCGAAGCAGCTCAATTTTGCAAGCACAGATTTAGTGCTTGATCTAAAGAATATGCTGTCACTTCATTTCATTTTGAAGTTATTTAACTGTTTTTTTCAAACTCATTCTCCTCTCAAAAAGAGAAAAAAAAAAAAACCACAATCGTTTTTGAGTGGAAACATTTTGAGATGTTAATGAAGGTTTTCAACTTTCCTGAATTTAATCTCGATCTTTCCTTTTGGTCAAAAATGTTCACTGAATTTGATCTGAATTTGCAAAACAAAAGAAAGCTCTGATCATCTTGAAAAAAATTTTGGATTTTTTTTTTTTGCACTTACTGTCAGAAAAATAAAAATACTCAACAAATTAAGTATGTTCAACTCAGCAGAGTCTGGATTCTGCTCATGAGCAGGTAAGTCCTTTCAGCTCTCAGTACCTCCAGTTCACCATCTTCAGAATGGGGGAGATACATTGATACCCTCTGTAGATCATTTCTGAGCTCTTGGTGAAAACCGCCGTAGAAGAACATGATAGTAGCAGTATTGTTGTATTGCACCCACAGAAATTAACATATGCACGAATGGGCATTTTTTAATTTGGTTCTGGTTATTATGGTTTAATTCTCTATCAAATCTGCATGCTCTAAAGGATTAATTTTGCTCTCCATGTCCTTTCTCTCCTAGCTTTGTTTAACCTCATACCTGTGGGTTTACGAGTGGTGGCGATTCAGGGGGTTCAAACAAAATTGTATCTGGCAATGAACAGTGAAGGATACCTATATACATCAGTAAGTAAACTTTTTTGATTTTGTTCTCACTGTAATTATGGTAAGAACTTAGTAAATGAATTATTTGTTGTTCCAAGGAGTCTGTTATAACCTGTAGACATGAGATTTCACAGCAAATTCAGTATAGTGGTGATAGTCTGTCTTAAGCTTATTACTCTGTTTCCATTATGAATACATCTGGATGTATGAAATCATACTGCGGTGCCTTTGATGCAAACTAATGAACCCAAAGTGTGAAATAAAAATACCCCGCAACCAAAACCCCACACAGAAACGACGTTCTGTCTTGGTCGCTGTGGACTGCTTGGGCTAGTCAGTGTGGGGTACAGAGGGAAAGGGACAACTTTGTAAATCACACGCGTGCCTGAACACATCTTATATCTTCCCATATAATCTCTATTACTGTTATTAAAAGGGATTATAGGAAGTAATTTTTTTTGTTTGTTTAACTAGGATTTTCAAATAGAAATGGAATTAGGTGCCAAAATCGTAGGGCTTCAAGTTGCTGAATGAGTAAAGAAATGCTTTATTAGCAGTTTTGATGAAGAAATGTCAGTTAGTAATTTTCAGTGGCGTTTCTTAAGAGAGCAAAGAGTGTTTTTTTGAAAAAAAGTGAAAAGAACATTTTAAAATATAGAGCATTTTTTAATTAAAGACATTTAGTTGAACTATGTTCAGGATTATTAATGAGATTTAAGAGATTTTTTTCCCAGGAAGAAAGTAGAGGAAAATATGATTTATTATCTACTACAAATTATTCTCTTCTATGGATGATTCCCTTAAGGTGCCTTTAATACTGGTAACAATTAAGTAAACTTATTCAAATCTCTCATTTGTTTTGCAATGCTGACAGCTGGGACAAGGGGCAGCTTTGCATATTTTTCTCTTGTATCCGCCAGAGCAAAAGCAAATTAGAACTGAGTATGCTGTTAGACAAAGTAAAATTTCAGTGAATGGCATCAAACTCTGCTTTTTTTTTTACTGAGGTATTTGCTTAGTGCAGCTAATCCGCAGATCTGTTTGCAGGGCTGTAGACACACAGCCAGATCGTGCAAAGTCCCCTTAATCCCGTGTAGTCGCGGTCCTGTGACTGCACAGTGTCATTTACATTTGCACTGCAAATGTACCTTTGCACTATGCGTTTTCATTTCCATCAGCATCCTCAGCTCTACTCCTTCCTGGCTTCCCACTTGCCAGGAGAACGCTGCGCCGTGCCAGCTTCTATGGGCTCAATTCTGCCTCGGGGACCATTACCTCGAGTTGCGTCTCAGGGTGGGATGGAAAGGTTTGTACATAAAGCAAAATTCCGTCACCGTGCACAACGAACATGCTTGGTTCGAGTAGGTCAGCTCTTTCACTGCATGCATTCTGGAATAATCAGATACATTTTTTGCAAAAATGCAGAAAACGAGATGGGGACAGGTTCTGCCACTGCTAACTCAATGTGAGACATAACCCTGGAGTCAAAGGGACCACTGAAAGAATGAAGTATCTCTTCTAGTATCCCTCGATGTGAGGAGTAGGGACAGAATATAACCCGTATTTAGATTAAGTCCAGCTTAGTTTGATGGGTATCTAGACATCTTAAGCAGAGCTCAGAGATTCATTTTGGTTGCAATTTTTGGTAATTTCTTTGATTAGGGATAGTTCTTCATGTGATCTTATATGTTACCATGAGTAGTGTATTCCTTGAATCCTTTATGATCTGTGATTTTAATAGTTTATGCCACTGCAAAATTAACTAGTGATATATCTCTATTTTCCCCTTTAGTAATAATGATCCTCTTTGTTTCTTTATTAGGCAGCTATATTTTCTTACATTTATTTTTTTATTCTTCTTGAACCTGATGGCTTGACAAGGCCTTAAACAGACTTTTGTCATGTTGCTGTGTCCCAAATTCATATTGTTAAATAATCTTCACAGACTGGTGTCCATTTAATGTTGATCTACTTTTCCGAAAAAAGTTTCCACCAAGTTCTCAATAATCTTGGGTTTATCATCTAGTGCCTTCTGGGCTACTTGTTTTGTCCTTTATAATAATTGCAAGAAACTGTCTTGGCAGGTGAAACCTAGCTCACGTCTCTGTCAGCGCACCCAGGGAGTGGACAAGGGCTGGCGAGGAGCATCTGCCCCTACTTCACCTGCTCCGCAAAAAGATTGCCAAAATTACAGTTCCATTTTTCAGGTGTTTCTAGCTGATACCGGTCCTTTCAGCAAGGGATGCAGTCTGACAGTCTGACGCGTGGGAAATTAGCTTTATATTTTGGGCTGGATTCTTGGTTGATGTAAATGAGTCCCAAGAGAACTCAGCTGATTTATACCAGCTGAACACTCACCTGTTCAAGAGATGCCAACAGGGAGTCCGGGGAACAGATCAGCTCAAGTAAATGACATCCATCTACACATCCTGAGGGTTTCCAAGCCCTTACAGGGATGTGTTCCTGAACGGGCTTTGTCAGGAGCAGACAGTTGGCAACATGAGATTGATCAGGAGGAAAAGCCCCCCAAAACACCGTCAAATTCCTGAAACAAGAATACAGGGAAAAACAGAACTGTACTTAAATTGTAGATAACTATAACAGATGCAACATTCCCAGAGAGAAATGAAATTAGCATTGATGATTCAATGTAATAGGGAGAGAGAATATTGTGGTCTATGTCGTGATCACTAGCTTTTGGTTTTATTGCGACTCTAGCGCTTCAGTCATGCTTGTGTCTGTGCAGAAGCCTTTCCTTCAGATTGCATTGCCAAAGGTTATAGATTCACTTGGTAAATGGGTTGAAAAACACCCTACTAATGTGCCATCGCTGTTGCTCACCCCATGCTACTGTCTGTGCCTTGCACCTGATGGTGCCTTTTAGCCTGAAACACTTCCAAAACACTGCGCCTGATAAAGAGGCCATTAAGTCCACGGCAATTCCCCCACTGGTAAATAGGTAAATAAGACATCTGGCTTACAGGAGGATAAATGGAGGCTCAGCTAAGTGCTTTCCCACACTTGCATAGGAAAGCACGTTAGGGGTAACACGCCAGGTGTCCCGTTTCCATGCATCCCACACGAAGTAGCAATATTAAATCTCGGTTCCTTTTCATTTTAGTGACTGTGATGAATTCTTGTGTTTTGTTCCTTATGGTATATTTTTGAGGTTTGGGCTGTGCCACAGCAAAATTGACTTAGCTGATTCTGAGTGTCCTGCATATGTAGAAAATATGTCCTAGCCACAATCCAGTACAGTTGTTGGCAGATGGAGAATATCTTCGGATCCAGTTTGCTAATTTGTTGAACTCTGGCTTTGGCCTTGCCTCTTTCTCCCTAGCAGTCTGCCAGGATGGGGACTCAGGTACCTGACCTCAGAGGTAATTTGCAGTGGTTTGCTTCTGATCCAGTGACTGTACTCAAGAATGAGGTGAATTTGCTCCATGAGGGGATCAGTGATATACAATAAATCTGCAGAGAACAGATATCTGTAGTTGGCTGCCAGAGTTTATAGATAGTTTGCAGCATCTGTCAGTTAAAGCAAAAAATAAGATCTTTAATGTAATGATAAAAGCTCCTCGGGGATGAGGCAGAAACTCAGCTAAGCAAAACAAACAAACAAAAAAGATATCATGTAAAAATAAATAAATAATTATCTACATTTATTACAGAAGCACATTAAAAGTCCTAGACTGCAGAGAAGGGAAGCGACCTTGGTCCTCCCCGCAGCCTGCTGAGCTGCTGCTGCTCGCCCCACTCTGAGCAGTGTCTGCCTCTTCTCCACACCAACTGGAAAATGCCTCTTCATATCACAGAAGAACACCACATTTGAAAGGGTTTGGGTTTGTTGGTTTGTTTTTTTTTTTGTAGCCAGTTTCCTACAAAGTCGATGGGAGTTGTGTGACCTCACAGTTTTATTTGGAGGGGCCTTGTCAGGATCTGTTTGAAGCCAAAGCTCTTCCTGCCGTTTGATGCCTGAGCATCCATTTAAATTAAAAACACAGGGTTTGATTCATCCCTTCTTACACCAGTGTCATGCTGCTGCAAGATGACTTAAACAGTGTTATGGCGCTGCTGTCTTACGTAACCACATAATGAATCATGCCCTTTTGTATTTTAGGATGGCTTCTATCATATCTTATTTTCCTTTCTATGAACGACCACATCTTTCAGATGATCACCATATATGCTACACTTGAGTTTTTCAGGTTTCATACCCTATGAATTCCTTGTGTTCTTTCATTGTCTTGAATAAAAGAGTGAATAATATTTTAAGGATCTGTTTATCAGACATGTAGCTCTAGAGCTATTGCGAGCTCATTAAAGTGATTGTGATGTGACAGAGCAGGCTCACAGTGATGCCGAGCAGCAGCTGAGTGAAGTTCATTAAATGGAAGGCATGTATGCAGGTGAAGAGAATTGGGTGTACTGCTTGAATTCTACATAAGCTGAAACATAACCCAAAGTACAGCAAATTTTAAAAAACAGCCTGAGAACATCGAACTGTGTGTTTTCCGTAAACCATCATGTCAGAGGCTTTTAAAATCACTTAATGATTGCCAATGAAATGCGTATTTCACCTACACAACATTTCAACCCATGTAATTGTGTGCTTGTTTAGCCTGGATACATTGCTAGAAAGGGTAGAAGTAAGTATGTGCTATTTGATGCATCCTTCTGGCTGGCCTCAGGAGCCATGCAACTCGGCTTGTACAGAGTGTTTGTGTTCCATCTTGTCTTGGGCTGGGTTCCTGTGATTTGCCACAGTATCTGATTTAATCGAGTCACATGTGAGTAAGCTTACAGCTTCTCCCAGGTTGGATAGAGCCACTGACTTAGAGCAATCCTTTGACTTGACCATGTGTGTTAGGGCCCAGTCTGTCCCTCCCTCCTGCAGCCTTTCAACTCATTGGTTGGAAATTCAGGTTATTCAGGATTTTGTAGGATGGGTGGTAGGAACTATGCTACATGGCAGGGTTGTTTATGCTTTCTTTGTTAGCTATTCTAGCATTTCTGATATT